TAGAAAAATGTATAACATTTCATTTATAAATCTTTTTTATTAAAGACTCTTCTATGTTCATATTCCATAACTTATCCCCTACTAAACTTATCCCCTACTATTCCTCTATCTAAAGTTATGTATACTCATTGATTTATTTATATTGTTTCTCCATTCCATTTATAATGCTATATACTTATATAAAGTGTACATCCACAATACATAAAAACTCATATTATTATAAGTTATATACATGTACAAATGATATATTCACCATATATCAAAATACAGACTATTAAAATTTTATTCTATTTTCTATTGCGCACACTCATTTCTTAATAACAAATTTAAATAATTATTTTCAATTAAAAACTAGTAGAGTTGATTCAATTCATACAAAACTTAAACTACTCAATTTTAAAATATTTTGAAAAAAAACTGCAGAACTGGAATAATACTTTACAACTCCAAAAAATCAAAACGAAAGCCTACAATGATCTCAAAGCTCAGCAACTAGTGGTTCCTTGGAGGAAACTATATATTCTTCAATAACCCAGCTAGACCAGGAGCTATGTTCACCCTTTGATTGGCTTGTCATATCAAGCTAGCAATCAAGGAGAGACTTCACAGATTTTCATTAATTATACAACATAAATCAGATATCTTGCAACGGCTTTTTCTTAGCAAAAATCATTTTAATGGTAATAGTATGCATAAAACAACGACAAGGGCTAGTCAAGAACGAAAAATACGGTATCGGTTCCTTTCTCGACGATACGAAATTACAAACTTTTGTTGAAAATGTTGTTATTCCTTCAAATTTGAAGATGGTGATGAGCGTTTCGTTAGGGTTGAAACTAGTTTTGTTTTATGGGGTTGAAAATGGTGTTGTACGTTTTGTTAAGGTTGAAAATTGCATTATTTCGTCAGAGGTTGTTTTTTGATGGAAATGAAAATATAGAATTGAAGAGACAAGTTAGCTAGCTCTGCTTGAAGTGATTAAATAATACCACCACGATTGTTTATCAAAACCATTGTGATATATCATGAAATTTATTTTTAAAAATGTCATCTCTTAAGCAAAGATGTTCAGACCTACAGAACGTGATTTGCCTCTACTACAACCCCAAAACTCCTTCAATTCAGTCTCAAACATCTTCAATCGCCCATAATCACATATTATAACACCATTAAAACATATTAAATCACAATATTACATCATATAATTCTTCCAATCTCATCAATTCATGTTTATCCAAAACATTTAAAAGCGTCAAAAATGGTGGAAAACATCAATACCTCAAAACGGAAAATAACATACATATAAACACACAAAATTCATCCGTAAAATAACCAACAATCATCACAACTTCATATAAAATTTAGAATCAATCACATCCTAATTTCCTTAAAGAGAGAAAAGACCTCTCATTTATACCCCATCATGCAAAACACCTGAATTGATAGTTCTTTCTCCCCTCTTACCTTAGATATTTTGCAATTGATGATGAATTGTACAACTTTTATGAGTTTCCTTTCCAATTTTGTAACTTTCTTTTCCTCTCCTATTTTTGCCTCTTTTCAACGTGTATATGTTGTTTCTCTAAAAACCTAGCTTTTTCCCCAGTTTTAAAATATATACTCCCCCACCACTTTGTTCAATTATGAAATTTTTCCAACCCATTACTAGCCTCCCTATTTTTACTACTTATTTTTTTCAATTCTCACAAATGACACAATTCTATCATTTTTATTAATTAAATAATAAATTCAAATAAAATACTATTTATTCTAATAATTAATTAATATTATAATTAACTCTAAACAACCACGCCCAACTCTTACTATCTCTATATATCTATTCTAAGGATACTTCTCCTCACAATCACACAACAAATAATTCAAATACCAATTAATTAAATAAAACTCCACATAATTAAATTAAATTAATTAATTGACTTTGGGGTGTTACAACTCTCTCTTTAATGCAAAATTTGACTTAAATTGAATCATCTTTCTTTACATTTTTCAACTCATTTCTCATGTTTTAATATATTTATTTCTTGTTCTTGTGTGATTTTTAAATATATTGCAAATACCTTTGGATTCTTTAATATGTGTGTTATTGTGTAGAATATAGGTATAAAACATCAATAATTAAGACACAAAGGAGTGGACAAGAAAGTCAAAGAAATGAAGAGGAATCAGCATGTTCGATGTACAAACATCAACGAGCAGCCAGTGAATATTCGTTAGGCGAAGTCTGGGCGAAGCCGCAACGAACCATCTCATATTAGAGGTAGTAGGAAAAGGACCCAAAGTTCGTTGGGCGAAGTTGAAGCGAAAAAGTTCACTATGCGAAGAAGTGTTTGCATGCCGAACTTAGATGTTTTCCAATGGCGGATTAACTGTTCCTGAGGCACTTGAAGTGCCCAAAAATAGTCTTCACTAGGCGAATAGGTTGTTCGTTTGGCGAACAAGACATAATTTGTAAATATTATATAATTATTTTTCTCACTTTTTTAGAAACATATATTATATTTTCAGATCATAAGTTTTTCTCTCTTCATTTCAAGCATATTTTAGAGAAAGAAACACAAACCCTAAGAGGAAGAAGGTAAGATCTTCGATCTCTTGTTGGGTTTGAATGTAATCTTTTAATACCTTATGTATTTAATCTAATATATGTTTTGTGAACTTGTTTTGATTCAATATTGATGTTGTCTTTGATTTCTTATTTGTGGGTCTTGACAAAACCTTTTCAAATCTTTGATCTAAGATACTCATCTATCAATGAGCAAACTTTTGACATAGTCTTGCAAGTTAAAATTCACTAGTATCACTTTTATTTTATTGTGTTGATTAGTAGAATGAGTATTATGAGTAGGATCAATACGGTAAAGACCACGACAATGTTTTTGACGCGAACGATATTGTGAAGATGTGTGATAATAGTGATGTAGAACTATCTTCACATACATTTTGAAAATTAGGTGAAGGCACGTATGTATTCTGATTTTGGCGTTTTATGTGTATCAATCATGAATCTGATATGGGTATCATATTTGGATACCTGTTAGGTTCTAGACTCTATACATAGATTTAGGCTTAGCATTTACATGAGTATCAATTCATAATGCTCTGTGTCGTTTAGTTGCATGAGACATCACCAATGAGTCAATATGGTTGTTCTCTCGACTTTGCATTAGACATAACCTCGGTTGTGAGTGACGCGTAAGGATATCAAACGAATGATTGATTTTTGTTTAACTGATCAGAAGAGTGCATGTGTTATCAATTGATGGATTCCAACCCCAACAAGGCTCCATTTATATTTCAGTCTTTACTTTATATTTTTTCGGCTTTATATTTTCTGCCTTTATCTATTATATCTTTGATCTTTCAACTATTTTGTAACAACAAGCTTACTAATGTAGAGACCGTTGAATGGTATTCTTTCCCTCGTATCAATCCCTATGGAGACGATATAAATTCCGGAGGGAAGTCTTACAAAACTAATTTTTTGTTTCTTGTCGCTTTATTGCAGTTCGAACACTCTCCCCCAATTAGAAAAATTTTGTCCTCAAAAATTACTTGAAGGAAATATAGTAGGATAGGACTATCTCATCTGACTCTCAAGCTTCTAAGTTATACTCCCACCAGTTGTTCCTCCTCACACTACCTTCACCAAAAACGATTTCTTTACCACACAACTTTTCACTTTTCGATCCTCTATCTGCATGGGCGATGCGTCAACGACAAAATTTTTTCCTTCATGCCTCATTCTATGATTTATAGAGTCTTCCCCCTTCCCCCTCCCCCAAGCTTCTCTGAAACAATGGAACATTGAGAAACAATTTCTATTTCCCAGAGAAGACATTATCTAATTTAGTAGCAAGGATCTTCTCATATCTAACATTAAGGAATCTATCGAATCTATAGCACTTTTCTTGAATGTATGTCTTAGAATGAGTGATAACCTCGTTAATGTCCTTATAATATTTAAACACATTAAACAGCCGCTTAGCTCCACATGTCATTGGAATTGAAGTAAAGAAATATGTTTTGGCCTCTTCGAATCTATCTCTGCGCCTCTTGGTTTAGTTGTCTCATTTCCTGTGTTTGAATTTCCTACAATCAACCCGTCTCTATTGCTCTGCTTCTTGCTTCACCTTTTGTCCCATACAGGTGTTTCAGTAGTACACAAATTTCGTCACTAAAATAATTTCTGATAAAATTTTAGCATTAGGAGACAAATTTGTATCCTCTTTAAATTTAAATTTTTTAGTTGTGCTATAAGATTTTAACTAAATCTATTTCTTTTTCCTTCTATCCAGCAACAACATTTGAGACACATTAAAATGTTTAATGATGCATAGTCATTTTAAATAGAATACAACCATTAACACAGACCTATCCTCATTCTCAAAAGTTGTACACGTAAAACACAACATTTTCTAATGAACTACGTGAGCATCTTACTTCATGTGTTGCATTTTCTCGACATTAAACATTTTCTTAAAGTTTTTCATATCATTTTAGTAATCTATTAGTTATCTTCTCAAGTAACAATTTTTTAAAATATTAACATACAGGAGCAAAAGATAAAAGCTAACGTTGAAAGAGTTCTAGTAAACTTTTATGCACAGCTGTACACTATGAAAAGTTTAGACTAAACCATTTGTACTACACTCTAAAAAGCGTGGGGATTATTTGGTATGTATTTAAGTATCTGCATGAGATGGCACATAGACATAGGACCACCAATAAACGTTATGCTTCACTATTTCATAGTCTTCTATATTATTATTAAAAATGTATATCAAGATGAAAATAACAACTATACACATCACAATTTTAAGATGAAAAATTGAATTAAATAAATACCAACTGCCAAATAAAGGTTCCGTATTAATCACTCCTTCCCTTCATTATATATATCACACACTTTCTTACTGGTTTTCTCATCGTTTGCTACCACATTTTGTAACTGAATCACTTTGCCTAGTTTAAGTTTTAAAATGGATTCGAAAAACGAAACAATCCACCTCCTAGGTCTTTTGTTTTTGGTTGTTCTTATTTCCTCAACGGTTTCAGCTAGGGTTTTCACTGAGACTTCCTCTAACACCAAAAACGGTGAGTTACATGGTATATTTAAATTTTATTTTTTAAAATTTTGGTAACCCGTTATAACTATCTAAAAGGAATGTCATATATAATTTTTATGTTAAGAGATTTCTTTGTTATCTAGAAATACAAGTGAATGTCAAAACCTATAGAAATCAATTAATACAAATTTATATAATATTGCATTTGCAGATGTTGAAAAGATAAATGAATGGAATAAAGTTAGCTATGGTGATGGAGGCTACAGAAGTTTTGGTGGTGGTAGTTACAATGGTGGTTACATGAATAATGGTGGTGGATATTATAATGGTTACCCGAATAATGGTGGCGTTTATCCAGGCAATGGTGGTTATGGTGGTGGTTACCCAGGTAATGGTGGTTACAGTGGTGGTTACCCGGGTAATGCTGGAGGAAGCAGTGGTAATGATTTTCTCGGTAACATTGGTGGTATTATTGGTGGTATTGTGGGTAATATTGGTGGTATTATTGGAGGTCGCGGTGGTGGTGCCGCAGTTGCTGGGCAAACTAAGGATAACACTCGTAACTAATAATATCATCATGAATAAAATAAGGTTGATGGTAGATTAAGAAAGGATTAAATTGTGAACAATCTTTGTTGTTATTTTCAATCTTGCAGCTATATAGTATTTATATTTTCATGCGAAATAATGTATCAATGCATAATCACTATGTGTATATGATGATGAGCTTAAATTTGAAAGTAAGTGATGAAAGTATTATCATGTGTTATATAAATATCGCCGATATATTGATAAAAAAATTTGAGTTAACATCATCAAGAGGTACCATTACTCACCCGCTATGTTGTAGATGGTTTCCTATGCTCGAAAGTTAGAGAAAACTAAAAACAACAAACAATTTTAACTTACAAACTCTACAACCAACCACTTAATCAAAATTGTTTTCATTAGCATAGCATAGATCCTAAACATGACCGACCCAATTAATTTGGGGCTGTGTTCTAATTTAAAAAATGAGTTTAAATGAAAAAATATATAATTTAAATAATTAAAAATAACGCACAAAAATTAAAATTATATATTAAACAGATGAATCACCAAAAAAAACTTAAATTAGTGTTTAAATTATAAACATCATTTTATACAACTTAAAGTATTTAACTATTTAAAAAGAGTCTTTTTATATTTTTAGAAATAAATTCACTAGCTAAGTCTTCATATTTTAGTGTTATTAAAATATGATTTTTTAACTATTATTAATGTCAATCCATTAAGTTTTTCTTGTGACATTGTAGACCGAACCTGTCAAAGAAATAATCAATAAAATTCTATATGCAATGATTGTATTAGAAAAACAATTAAAGTCTTTCGAAAATAATAATTTATCATTAGGTCTTATGATTTTTGCAGACAACATTTCTCTTAGTAATTTAACTATGCAAAAAGTTCATTCTCATCAATATCAGTTTACTCATTATTTTTCAATACTCGTTCAAAGTTACTACAACAAGATTTTAAAGTTGCATCAGTCACTGATTATAAGTTATGATAAGTAAACAAGAAACCAAAATACTTTCACATATTCTTGGTATTGTTCAAATTTCTTATTAAGAGAAACAACATCTTGATCAACAAGATAAAGAAAATAATTAATCCTGAAAGATTACTCTTTAGATAGCTTAAATGCTAGGGTATTCAAATTCTCATCAAACTGTCTTTTTCCATTAAGAAAATGTTGGGGCCATATTTAATTCACGTGATTTATTTAGCATTAACCAATGCATTATAATACATATTTCTATATATCCCACAAAATATGAAATCAACCCATTTTTTTGAATTTTGAAATCAATCCCTTTATTTTTTTCCATAAAAACATCAATAAATATATCCTTTTTCTGTACAAGCTTGCTAAAAGAATTATTTGCAGATAAAATTTTAAGCTAAATCATTATAGCCATCAAAAACATAAAATCACCAAGCTCATTTATTGCTAAGGATTTAACTTAATTTTATATTTTGGGATCAAGATCACTTTAAGTATAGTTGATGTATAACCTAACATTTGATTTTTATATCTTTGATACTATATACATAACTCTCCAAACGAGTATATGACAATGATTTTTGAAACATCCTTTTTAAATTATCTTTTAAAATTTTCAATCTCTTAGTAGAATTGGCAAAAATTGTATAAATGTGTTGAACAACTCCAAAAAATTCACAACTTTATTACAAGAGTTAGTTATATCACACTATGGTAAATTAACATTATGGCAACCACAAGGAGTATAAAAAACTTATGGATTCATGTCTAAAAACCTCTTTTGTACGCCTTGATGTTTTCCTTTCATATTTGACCCATTATCATAACCTTTCTCTCACACATAAATAAATCGAGACTAAGTTCTTTCAATTCATTTTGTAAAACATCAAAATGTCCTTGACCGTTTGTATTATTTACATTCAAAAATCCTAATAATACTTTTTTATATGCAATGGATTCCTCAATGCTATCAGAAGATGAAAAAAATATCCACATATCTTATTATCAAAGGCATTGCTCTTGGTGACAAACAACAGGAGTACAATCAAGTATTACTGATCAATACTTTACATGTTTCATTGTTATAATAATATCAACTTTAATTGCAGAACCATGCTGCGAAATAAACTCATTTTATATTTTAAGCTCAGGATAATGAACTTGAACTTGTTGAGTTGTAACACGTCTAACATGTCATTCGATGATTCGGTCAAATGCAACTAACATTTCAATCGAACCCAAAAATTTGTCATTATTATCTTCGAACAATTTCTCCTTAGAACCACAAAACGACAAATATTACTTAGCGAGAAATTTCACTGCTGAAATATCTCTTTTAGTCATTTTCTTTCTCAATTAATCTTTTAGTCGTTTTATTAGTAGTTTAAAATTTATGCAGTCTTTGACGATGCTCATACCAATTAGTCATATTTTTAACATGTTCCATGCCTAACTCATGCTCTTTAATTCTTCTAGGTATGTACACTAAGGAGTTAGAAGAGTTGTTACTTCTGTTGCAAAATTGGCATTCTGTTGAAGACAAGTAGGATAGCTTCCAAAGGGTTGCTTCTGAGTCCTTTTCTTTCTCTGTCTGCTCTACTTATAATGTATTGATGCAATATTCTTAGATTGGAGTGGTCGATGAGGATCTCATCTTGGCTTTATCCGAATTGTGGAGAGCTAAACTATCGTTGAAGGTTCAAATTTTTCTTTGGAGGTTGTTCTTGAGTCATTTAACATCAAAAGATCAGTGGAGATCCTCTCTGCATATTCTATTGTAGAAGTGAAGAAAATTCGAGTCATTTGTTGTTTTCTTATGCTATTTCGATGGAAGTCTGAAGATGAGTCGAAAGATGGTTAGTGTTCTGGACTTGGTTTGTGGCTAACCCAGCGTCGAGCATAGCCCATCCAGTTCTATGTCGAGGATGGTCAAAAGTGTTGGCCTAACCCACTAGGGCCAGTGGAGATCATGTTCTCCACGTGCCCCTCACTTGAGGAAACATCACCAATTGACACGCACGCCTCGTGGAACCATTATACCCTTCAAAACAGGAAAGTCCTTTCATTATCCAAGGAGTGCGGAGCGTTGACCCAGGACGATGAACACGAGCTGCTCATCCCTACTCTCACGTGAAAGTCTGGGCAGTCATCCGTTGTGGGCCTAGATACTCAGCCAACAACGTGTACCATTGGTCATGCGTTGGCGGTTCACTATAAAAACCCTCCTCTACAAGAGGGTCACATATTATGTTATTTACCCTTTCTTTCTCACCTTTTCACCCGGATTGACTTAAGCATCAGAGTGTCTGCAGGTACCTCCATTTTCCGTCGATCGTCAAGTCTGTGAACATGTTGTTGGCCACCTATTTTGATCGACAGGTTAGATGAGTCAGGTTTCGAAACATAATTCTAATGTTGTTGCCTTTTTTAATGATTTCCAAAAATCTCTAAGGAGGGTATAGTAGAAAATACTGCATGATTAGTTATTTGGGCAGCTACTACTTGGCAGTTGTGAATAGGTAGAAATAATATTATCTTTAGGAGATCGGGTTATTCGATGGAAGATTTTACTTGCTCGATCAAGTTGTTGTCCTGAAGATGGTTAGGGATTAATTCTAGATTACCAAAATCTTGTATATTTTTTTATTGGTTCAATTACCCTGCTAACTCTTTGAAGAGGATGTAGTTTCTTTATTTTCTTTGTGTGAGGGTTGAAATATCCGTTGTATTTGAGTTTATTATTTCCATTGCCTCCTACAGTATGTTTGAAATGATGAGATTGAATGAAATATGATGAAATGGAATAGAATGAACTTAAATTTTGTGATTTAGATTAATTAAAAATGGATGGAATGTAGCGAAATCCGATGGAATGCATACTATCCCATTCCATCACTTTTTGTACCCTTCAATTTGGGCGGAATGATAAAATAGCTTTGTTCCGTCGTAAAATACCCAAACAACAAAATAGTATCTTTATTCTATTACACACCACTCCATTTCATTTCACTCCGTTCGACTCTATTCAACTTCATTCGTTTCACTATATCCAATTAAAAACAAAACATTTTTCTTGTCTCTAGGAGCATCTTACTCCCTTTGTTGTATTTACTCGACACTAAACATTTTCTTATAGTTTGTCATATTATTTTAGTTCTCCATTATTTATATTCTCAAGTAACATTTTAAAAAAATATTAAACCACACCTTCAAAGTAAAATTAAAAAGAAAATTAATGTTAAATTAAAATAGTTCAAGTAAACTTCTGTGCACAGCTTTACTCTATCAAATGTTTAGACTGAACCATATGTACCACGCTCTAAAAAGTGTGGGGATTATTCCGTATGTATTTAAGCATGTGCATGAGATGGCACATAGACATAGGACTGCAAATAAATGCTCTGCTTCAATATTTCACAGTCCTCGATCATAATACTCAAAATGTATATCAAGATGAATAAAACAACTATACACTTCATAATTTTTAAGCTTTAAAATTGAATTAAATAAATACCAACTACCAAATAAAGATTCCGTATTGATCACTCCGTCCCTTCATTATATATATCACACACTTTCTTACTGATTTTCTCATACTTTACTACAACATTTTGCAACTGAATCAATTTTTCTACTTTGATATTTAAAATGCATTCGAGGCCAGCAATAGTTCACATCTTAGGCCTTTTGGCTTTGACCGTTATTATTTCCTCAGAGGTAACAGCTAGGGTTTTCACTGAAACTTCCTCTAATACCAAAAACGGTGAGTTATACAGTTTTTTTCTTTATTTTTTAAAAACATTTCGAATACAATTTTTTTAAACCCTTAATCAATATTTAAAGCTAATGTCAGTTATGATTTTAATATTAGAGATTTTTTGTTATTTACGAAAATAAGTGAATATCAACACCCATAAAGTTCAATTAATACAATTTTATATAATATTGTATTTGCAGATGTTGAAAAGATAAATGAAGCAAATAAAGTCAGCTATGGTTTTGGAGGCTACAGAGGTTTTGGTGGTGTTTACCCGGTTAATGGCGGTTATCTGAATAATGGTGGTGTTTATCCGAGTAATGGCGCTGGATACTTTGGTAATGGTGGTTACGGTGGTGGTTTTCCGATTAATGGTGGTGGTTACCCTGGTAATGGTGGTTATGGTGGTGGTTACCCGGGTAATGTTGGAGGGAACAATGTTAATAATATTCTAGGTAACGTTGTTGGTAGTATTGCAGACTTCATAGGTAATATTGGTGATCTTATTGGAGGTCAAGGTGGTGCCGCAGTTGCTAAGCAATCTAAGGACAACACTCGTAACTAACAATATCATCATTTAAGATACAACTTCTAAGTAACAAATCTCACGAATAAAATAATGTTGTGTGTAGATCAAGATAGGATTTTATAGTCAACCGTCTTTGTTGTTATTTTCTATCTTGCCACTATATAGTATTTATAATTTTATGTGAAATCATGTTTAAATACATCATCACTATGCATATGTGATGAAGCTAGAGTTTAAATTTCAACAAATGAAAGTGAAGAATGTATTATCATGTGTTATTTAAAATTTGTCTTTGCTTTATATCAAAAAAATAATATATATATCGTCGATGATTTTATCACCCTTAGATGAATTCAAATTTATTTGCAAATTCATGATAAAAACAAAAACAAAATATGTAAAGAAATTATTTATATTTAACAAATGAATAGAATGTAGTAGAAATTATAATGAGAATACCTTCACATTCTTATTCAATTTTGTCCGTTGCTTTCAATAATTCACACTATTACCTTTTCCTACTAAAAATAATACATTTTATTTTAAAACTTTCACCTCAACTAATAAATAATTGAGTTATATGTTAAAGATAAAAGTTGAAAATTTGAATTGGAAAAGCATGATAGAAAAAAGGGAATTTGGAATTAATCTCCTCTATCTTTTTCATTGCACACGGGTCCCTTAAATAACAAGGTTCTAACTGCTATTTTTCTTAGATTTTAGGGTCCTATGACACTTGTCACCAATATGTTATGTTGATCACAATACAATGATAGCTGAGTACAATTTGTTTAATTTAAAAAGTGAAAATAAATTTAGATTCCTCCTTATCGATAACGAAATGGCATTTTGATATTTCTTTTGGGCTTACTACGGATTTTCTCTTCTGACCCACTATTGTTAGGTTGAACCGTATCATTACCACCCGAGGCAAGAGAGAAATTGTCCTCAAGGTCAAAATTAAGATAAACAATTTCAAACTCATGTTTCAACTCCCACGTGGCCTCTTCAACTAAATGTCTTTGCCACCAAATTAGTAGTTATGGATGTTCCCCTTACATGTGATTTCCTAAAAAACTTGAAGGGACTTTCTCATCGTGTAGTGGTGGTGGGTAAAGCGAAAGTGGGTAGATTTGAGTATCTGATTCAGTAGAGCAAGATTTCAACTAAGGAGACATCGAATACCGGGTGGATTCGTGCCGGAGGAGGAAGTTCAAGCTCGTATGCAACAGAGCCGATGCGGCAAAGGATATGAAAAGGGACATAGAAGTATTTAGCAAGTTTTCAGAGGCGTGACCCATGACGGAGGATTGGTGATACGGTTTAAGCTTAAGGTAAACCCATTGATTGACTTGAAACTCTTTGTCATGAAATTCTGGTGTGCAGATCACAGATGTTCTAAAAGATGTCGAGACATTGATCTCTGCATAACTAAATAAGGACCTAACACAACATACCAAAACAAACTGATATGTCAAAAACAAAACAATGTAATGACAAATGTTGCAACATCTGTTAAGACATGTATTTTACAGCAAGAGACAAAACTAAAATATTAATAACAAAATGATAAATAATGCCAAGATATGATGACCCAGTTCGATATACGACAGCACCTACATCTAGGGGCTACCAAGTCAGGAATGAATCCACCATTAGTAGTATTAATTTAGAGATAAACTCGCCCGTTTACAACTCCTCACTTAGTCTCTACCTAGTACAATTCTATCTAAAAATCACCATCTAGATATGAGAACCCCATCTCAATTTCTAAATCACCTCAGTGATATCTAACAGTCACAACCTCTGATGACTATATCAAACTGTTCTATTGAAAAACACCCCTCTCAATATAAACTTCATTCAAGACTCTTGACTAACAATAATACTTTAATTTTATTAATAGTTTCATCCAAGAACAATATAAAATTCATTACCTACAGACTTCTGAATATCAAAAACTATGTCTACCACAATGTATCAACTGATACAAAGGGTGACTTACAACATATGAAAGTACACGACTCTCAATACCCTAAACCCTATAATTACTTTTCAAGAATTCGTTACAAGGTTTTTTCTCTCTCTCTCTCTCTCTCTCTCTCTCTCTCTCTCTCTCTCTCTCTCTCTCTCTCTCTCTCTCTCTCTCTCTCTCTCTCTCTCTCTCTCTCTCTCTCTCTCTCTCTCTCTTCCTTAAGTCTTGGTCTTCCTTTTATAGACATCAGCAGTACATGGGCTTCAAAGTCTCTGTCCAATCTTTTCTTAATCCACATTATGATTGCACCTTAAATCTTGGAACAGATCTGCAACAAAATTATTGCACCAAACCAAGATGTCGAGTCCACAATGCTAGGACATCTTGTCTGACATGTTGTTATTTAATGATTTCTTCTTGTTGGAACATTTAATGCAACATCATGTTTTACCAAAATTTAGTCAAATCGTTAGAGCCTTAAATATCCCCCTTTTGACAAATTTTGGCTAAAACTTCTTATGCACAATAAACCCAGGAAGTAAGGAAGAGAGGAGTAGAAAGTCCTGAAGTCATTTAAGCCAACCTGTAATGAACCTCCTAGAAGCTTTCATTCTTCATGTACAACATGCACCACCTATTGTACGACGAGTATCCTGAACCCTGGTGTACATGCAGAAGAAGATGTAAGCCACTCCCCCTAAAAACCAGTCCCAATATAGCAACCTCCATTATCATGGACAGGGTTTAGAGGAGTATACCCTAATTCTGGATAACTCAAAATACAAGACACAATTGTGTTCATAACTCAGATCACAAGACACAAAAAGAAGACTCAGAAAATAAACTGAGACACAGATAGGATGTCAAAACATCTCATCCAACATCCTTGCAAAACAACTGCAAGAATAGACTCAGTCCCCAACTAGAGATCAGTTATGTGTTGTAATGTGAACCACACAATTGGGATAAACATGGAACCTATCTCCCCCTTTTCCAAAAATTGACAAAGATGCTCAACACAGGTCCATACCCACATGGTACTTACCCAAACCCGAACAAAAACCATTTAGACTTGACACATCAAAAAGAAACATATCCTGAAATAAACGAAGCCAAAACCTCTTTTAAATACTCAAGCAGTTTCTCTACGAATTAATGTTCCATAGAAGTTACCGAAGAACAATTCAATGAGGATATAAATTTAGATAGATAACTTCATCATAAATGACTGTGTAACACCCAAATCAGATTTGACTGTTTCAACTTTAGGGAGAACCGTCCAAGGAATGCACATGTACCAAGACACGTGTTTTGTACGCTTTCTTTAGAGCACGCTCTCCATCGTCCAAATAGAGCTACTTTGAAACAACCATAAGTTCTAAACAATGTCCTGACATCTGGTCAGACTTTTTTTAGTCTTTCTCTTGTCCATTTTAAAGCATAGTCAGAATGCTTACCAATGGACTCCACGCATACTCCTTTCATATAGAATTAGAAAGTCCTAATCATGATGTCCAGGCAGTATATGTGACATCTCACATTTATCAACAGAAGCTTCCATTGACCTTATTCTAAACTGTAGAGGAATATAAATTCTCCTAGACAATATCCAATCCTATTCATCAGGTCTCTTTTAATGAACATAGTCGAATTACTTCAAAACCTTAATATGTCAAAATCACAAGCAGGACATATTAGGCTAAAGCACCAACACACCATGATGTTAAGACACTTAGTCTGACATCACAATCTCACATGAATCACATGAACACCTTCATGCTCATGAGAGAAAGAAACAAAACAGGAGCACTCGTCTTGTACCATAAACAATAGACTCTTAGATTGAGATCAACAATCGTCATTGATCACTCTCCCCTTGAACACATCCACACACTATACAAGTCCATCTTGAACCATACAACCATAGAAAATGTTGTTCTTGAGATTAAATCCAATCAAGACTGGAATGTTCACATTCCTGAGAGAAACATACACATTCTCTTAACCCATTGGTTAATCAAGATATCATCCACACATGAAAGTCATCAAACTCTTTCACCTAATGAAGAGGAAAACCTCCTTAGCTTGTTTCCTTCTCAAGACTCAATCTTCTAGCAGAACTAACCATCTACACACAAATAATCAGAATCCACAAAGTCTTGACCATTCTTCACAATGAATAGATAACTTACTTCTGATCAAAATGGTGAGAACCAAAAGCTTTCCTTTCCAAAGAGATCGTCAACTGAAATGATGATTCAAACACTAGTTGAGACATCATCCTCAATCAAAGGACACATTTGTTTAGGTACTGAAGTCAACATCCATAGTAATAATTCTTTGCATGGTAACCTAGACACTTCCTTTTGCAACGAACACACGAGGATTCCAATAGAACACAGTTGTAGCAGTTGATAAACCATCATCGAAGGCATAATCCCAAAGAGAGAAATAAAGTCTCACAAGCCTCATGAAGCTTCAACCCAGAAGCACAATGTTCAGACATCCTACCTGACATTACAAAGTCAGCACCCATCCTTAAGCATCCAAAGATGAGAATCCCTCTGACAGATACCATTGTGACTGACAATAACCATGAAGATATATATTGAACATTATACCAAGAATAGACTTCTCTGTGAGATCTATTTCTCCACTGCCCCTCAATCTTATATTCTCCTTGCACAGTCCATCATACGATAAAGTACATAAGTACTAGCAAGGGCTAATGTTTAATAGGTGATGCCATCATAAGCCTAGAGCAACATGCTTGAGAAGGAAGCTTCTTGGGGTACACTCAAATACCACCTTCCTTCATACGTGACCAATCATAATACCCTCCACAAGGTCCTTGATCACGTGGGAACAACATACTGTAGCTTCCAGTACTAACACCCCGTTACCCAAGACAGAACTCTGGATTGCCCATTCCAAACAACTTAGATGAGACACCAAGCAATCATCAACTCCCTTGAGCTTTTGCCATTGCATGATTCACAAAGGTTTAAAAAAAACTTTGGCACCACCCATTCTGATGTTTAGAACAATGCTAGAACATTTGATTTACATCAATGACTTGACTATCCACACATCCCTTAGATTTCCAGGATGGAGGTTGTCTTTTCCACAATAGCAGAACAAGAGTTTCATATTCTCATAGACTTGATCATGAAATCAAGTTTGAGTAAACAACCTCCATTCTGTATATAAACGAAAAAAACAACAACGAGTCCTTTTCTAGATGACTCGAATACCTTGATGAGAGTCTGTTTTAAGCACAATTCTCCAAGAGAATCATTCGAACAAGATCAGAGTCCACACCAAAACCAAACCTAATAGAGAAGGTATTCATAGGATAGACGACTATCTGCAAGATCACCTAGGTCAGCCAGAAAAGTCTCTAAGATGTTAGGCTGAATGTCCTAAACATGCTTCCTTGACTTCCATATGCACAGAATATAGTAGAGATGTCTTCACAGTCCTTCAGCATAAATCAGGCCACAAGCTCCTTCAAAGGATAACCATGCGCCTATCTCCAGATCAGAAATAAACTGACCTTAAGACAACTCACCAAAGCTAATAGTTTCTTGATCTTCATCTTCACCGGCATACATATACAAGACAAAACTCTTGTATAGAGGCTTCCTAGATTACAGACCAAAAGACTCTTCAAGATCAATCTGAAGAAGATTCCCAACACTATTGATAAACACACATTTGTTTATCCTCCAGAACATATGATACATCTCTCCTTTGCCCCAGAAGTTCACTTCTTGGATCAACAAGATTCTGCACACACTCTTCAGAAGTGATGTTTCAACATGTGGTTGAACATCAGGTCCTTTTCCCATGAATAAGTCATTAGATCTTGAGTTCTTGCACTGTCTGAAGTTGCACCTTCAGAAGTGACACTTTTGACATCACCGATCAAAAAGGATAATCAATGAAATACTTGTTAAGGTCATAAATAGCAATTGATTTTAAATTCCAATTTTGTATTCTTCAGTCACAAAATGTCGTAAGACACTCCTCCTTACTCAATTAACAACCTATAGAAATATCTTTTAGGCATAAATATTTCTTAAAATACCATCATCTCTTCTAAACACATTCGACAGTGCCTTTATAAGTAGACTTGAGAGAGGACTCAAGTATTGGGATACCTTTTTCCTCCTAAAACTTGTTTAAAACCTTTTTCCTATAAATCCTTTAAAGAAATGATTTTTCACTAAATATGAACTGCACTTCCTCTGGAAAAAAATGACATTTTTCTTCAATGTTTTTAAATCTTAATTTAGTTTAGTGATCTCACTCAAAACAACACGAGTTTAGTGAAGAAATGAAACTAGAACCATGATTTACTCTGCAGTAGGTTTTCTCTTATATTTTTTCAGTGTTCTTTAGTTCTTCTTAATTTATCTTCTCAAATCAGATTTCTTTGGTTTATTTAGTCACGTTTTAAGAATGAAGATGGGAAAAAATTAATGTTGTAATAATTTTAGATGATTAAACTAATGTATACAGCTGTACTCTATCAAAACTTTAGGGTGGACCACTCTCTAAATAGTGCGGGGAGTATCTCTGTGTCTGCATGAGATTGCACGTAGACATAGGACGGCCATTAAAATTAATATCAAGATGAATAAAGGTTCCGTATGGATCACTCCTTCGATTCATTATATATATTACACAATTTCTTACTAGTTTTCTCATCGTTTACCACAACATTCTCCAACTGAATCAATTTGTCTAGTTCAATATTTAAAATGGATTCGAAAAAAGCAATATTCCGTATTCTAGACCTTCTGATTATGGTTCTTCTTTTCTGCTTAGAGGTGTCAGCTAGAATCTTCACTGAGACCTCCTCTAATACCAAAATGGGTGAGCTATTAATTATTTTTTCTTAATTAATACCTAAATTTATTTTTTATGAGTATTTTATAGGAATTTAATATCATTCCTTTCTAAGTTATTATAAATTTATATAATATCATATTTGCAGGAAATGTTGAAAAGATAAATGAAACAAATAAACCAAGTTATGTTAATGGAGGTTACATAGGTTATCCGTATATTGGTGGTGGTTATTCTAGTGGTAATCCAGGTAATAGCGGTGGTTACATTGGTGGTGGTTACCCTGGTATTGGTGGTGGTAGTTATCCGAGTATTGATGGTGGTTACATTGGAAATGGTGGTTATGGTGGTGGTTATCCGATGAACGGTGGTAGTTACTTTGGTAATGGTGGTGGCTACCCTGGTACTGTGGGTGGTGTTATTCCAGGTAACGCTGTTCCATACAATGGTGGTGGTGGTGTTGGTGGTGTTGTTCCGGGTATTGTTGGTGGTGGTGGTGGTGGTGGTATTCCGGGTGTTTTTGGTGGTGTTTCAGGTGTTGTTCCGGGTGGTATTATGGGAAATATTCGTAGTTATATCAGTGGTTATATAAATGGTCGCTTGAGTAATGGTGACCAAGTTGGTGCAAAAACTGATGGCAACACTCGTCACTAATAATAGCCATATCATCGTTTATGACACACTTTCTTCGTAATAAATTTCATGAATAAATAATTTTGTGTGCAGTAGAACAAGAGAGGATTTGATAGGGATTAATCTTTGTTGCTTTTGTCTATCTTGCTATTTTATAGTATTGATATTTCACTAGTGGAAACCATGTAAAAATAAATTATCATTATGTATATGTTATGATGAGTTTAATATTCATCAAAAGAAAGTGCGGAATGTAATAATATCATGTGTTATATTGATCATTGTTTTTATTAAATTTAAGTGTTCTCTTTCCTTTTAAATTTATATCACTTATGAATCAGATTGTCTAAGAAAATACTACCATTTAAAAAATATAATTTTGTTTATTAATATAAATTTTGTAGAAAATTTGTATGTAAATTAAAAAAAAAAATTAAGAGAAAGAAAGAAATTATTTTATTAAATTATTCTTATTACTATCGATGGAAAGAAAGCATACTTGTCGTCATTGTTTAAAGAAGGATATTAGGAGAAGGTCGCAGAGCAAATCAAATCTGTTTTAAGATTCCAGGTAACATAGCAAATCAATGAAATTTTTATTGTTTGACGGAGATGACACGCAACAAATCAAGGTTTTGGAGAGAATGAATTTTGAATTAAAAAAAAAAAATCACTAAGATTGGATCGAATTTGTTCTTAAAGTGAATGTGATTTTGTCGAAAAGGATCAAAGCACGAGATATTTGAGAATGAAGTCAATGTTTTGTTTAATTTTCTGTGTGACTATAGTAGGTTATTATTATACAATAAATAAAAGTTATAAATTATATAATATTTGTTAAGTAGTCAGTGGCAACCTGATATTTCAAGTAGTCATATGACTCAAGTTTTTTTATTTATATTATGTTTTCTTTATGTCAAGTCCGGTTGACATGCAAAAATTGCGAATTTATTCTATTATTTAATCACTGTCAATGACAGCATTGCAAGTATATTCTATTATTTAATCAATATCTATGACAGCGTTTTTATTGAAGCGCTATCGTAAGCTCAAAATCAGTATTTTTTAATTTTAAAAATTAGCATTTAATAGCATTTTTTTATAAAGCATTGTTATAGGTCTAGATAAATTTTTAGGCTATTATAACTTAATAGCGCCTTAAACAAAAGTGTTATTATAGGTTTTGGAATTATATATTTAATAGCATTTGATAATTAAGTGCTATTAAATATGAACTGTTGTATTAGTGATTAAGTGTGTGGCTTTCAAGCAGATTTTGATCTTTGAGAAATTGAAGAATGAAGTTCCTTCAATAAAAAGAGAATGAGCATTTTTCCATAGTTTTCGTTGTGTTTGTCAACCTCTTGAAGAAGAAAAGAATCAAGACTTAAAATCAAAACTGATTCAAGATCGTTGTATTGCCAAGGTTAAAGTCTCAAATTTTGAATATCAAGTTAGGGTAAGATCAAAGATGGTAGCAATGGTAGCTAGTTGCTAACAAGTATCAATCAAGAAGCAAGGAAAAAGATAGTTAGGATTAGCAAATTTATCTTATGTTTCATTAAATTGATGTAACAAAAAATCTGACTCATAACATATTGGAATAAACAATTTTTTAATGTTTCTTCATTGAAGATTGGATTAGGTTTCTACGAGGACAGTTACGTCAAACCAGTTAAATTAGGCATTCCATAATTATCTTGTTAACTCACTCAAATTCGCACTTTTAATCACTTAAATTCACACATAATTATCTTGTTAAATTACAATCCTCGTGGATACGATATTTTTTTATTACTTCGTCGTTATCTGTACATTTTTTGAGAGGCCGTGACTTCTCTATCTAGATCTTTTCAAACTCGCAATGACTAAAGTTTTAGGAGGAAATTACCATGTTTATGCGGTAGAAGAGGATTTTGCAAGATTCACTTAAACCCTATTTTAAGTTATAAGGAAGAAAGTTTAAATTTTTTTTATAAAATATGCTAGGTTTGTCCAAAACCAATTTAATCACTCAAATTATACCATTGATAAATGATTTTTGTGATAAATTTGTTAATAAATCTTTTGAAATTTTTTGCAATGAAAATGGTATAACCTTTAATTTTTCATGTCTGCCCACTCCGCAATAAAATAGAGTTGTAGAGCATAAAAATCGTGTTTTAGAAATATTATCACGGACTATGATAAGTGAGATGGATCTACCTAAATACTTTTAGGCAGGTGCAATTATTAACGCATGTCATGTCTTAAATTGGGTTGTCATTAGACCTGTTTTAAAGAAGAATTCATGTGAGCTACTTAAAGGTAGAAAACAATTCGTTTTTTATTGCAAATGATTTATTCTCTATAATGGTAAAGATAAGTTTGATAAGTTTGAAGCAAAAGTTGACGAGAGAATTTCCATAATAACCCTCATCTAGTAAAACCTATAGGGTTTGTAATAACATAACCTTAATTGTTAACGTATTTGTGCATGTAGCTTTGTGCATAACAAAACCCCACAACAATGGAATATGGCATACTGCGTGAGTAATGGTCTGTAGTGGAGTGGTGTGACTACTGTCTATTGACTTTGTGGTGTATGCATGAGTTTTGCTGGTCTGATATAAGCTATTGATTGTGTGCTTAGCTATAACTAGTTGTGATCTGAACTTTGTGTTCTCAAATGTTGGAGCATATGACCCTTGTGTGAGCTGATATATTTGTATTAGAAGTATCTATTGATTTGGACTTGACTACTAACTGTGTGTGCATGCATGACTAACTAATCATTAATGATTGCATGTCTTGATTGTTTATGAGAACATCATTGTGTGTATGACTAACGGTTGTGTAGCAACCAACTAATTGACTTTTGACTATGTTATTACTTTATAATGTTTCTCTGATTTGCGTTGTTGCTACTCTAATTTCTGCTGCTGCTAATGTTTGTTGTGAGTATGGGTTGCCTATGATACTCATTTGTGTTATGTTTTAAAGAGTTGTTTTGCCTAAATTTTTCAAAGGGGGGATGTTGTTCTTTTTCGAATGGCTGCATTATGCAAAACAACATGGAGTGTTCAAGTTGTGTTTGTGAAAAAAGAACACATGTGGAAACACATGTCTCAGTATTTGGCTCTTGTCTGCTCGACAAGGTTGTTGTTGTTTGGACACGTATTTCAGTAGCGTTGTGCAACATGATTTGTTTCTATCTTTTAGCAATGTGTGACGTGATTTGTTTTATAGTTGTTTGAATATCACACTAATTAAAATGGAGATTTGAATTTTAAAAATCATATATTTTGTTGGAGACTTTTGTGGAGCAAATCAAATCCAATTGCGTCATCTATAATTCTGGACGAAATCAAAGCAAATTAAATCCAATTGCATCATCTATAGTTCTGGACGAAATCAACGTAAATCAAATACAATTGCATCATCTATAATGATGCCTTAAATACCAATGCTTTTAATATAAAAACGCTGCATAAAGAGGACATACGTTAACGCATTTAAAAGAAAGTGTTACCTAATAATGACATATGATAAGACTTTTAGTAGAAAGCACCGTCTAATGATGTCATACCTTCATCTAATAATGCTTTTATATATATATGTGTGTGTGTGTGTGTGTGTGTGTGTGTGTGTGTGTGTATATATATATATATATATATATATATATATATATATATATATATATATATATATATATATATATATATATATATATATATATATATATATATATATATATATATATATATATAGATAGATAGATGAAGGAGATATAAATTTTAAAATGTATTATTTTCATTCATTTATTGTTTTAAACTTTCATTTATAAATAATTAATTTTTAATTTTTAATTCCATAATCATATTTGAATTGATATCTATAACCTCTCTTCTCCATTTTACATATATATATATATATATATATATATATATATATATATATATATATATATATATATATATATATATATATATATATATATATATATATATATATATATATATATATATATATATATATATATATATATATATATATATATATATATATATATATATATATATTAAATCTAGATTTGCATTTGTCCCAATAACATCTCTATCCTTTTTGCAAAATCACTCCTCTCTTATTTTTAACACATCTTTGATTCTTCTCCCCGTCTCTTTATATGTTATTGTAACTTTATACTTTCTTTTATAATTGCAATTGTATTTTTAAATTCGATTACCATGTCTTGATTTGTGGTTTATGTTTCCTCACCTAGAGTCCTTTCAAATATGTAAAATAGGAAATAACATGTGAGTTACAAATTGTTTCATTGCATGCCTTGATTTTAACTTTTGAATAAAAGAAGTGAATAAGGTCTAGAAGTTAAGAAGACTTATAAAAAAGAGGAATAAGAGAGATAGTGTGACAGAATTTGACAAAAAATTCATAAATGATTCTTTTGATAAACATGCATAATAAAATTTGTAATTTTATTATTGTATCTTTCATTCCTAACAACTTCCATGCATGTCTTAAACAAAAGCCACGTTATAGAATTTTATATATGATACAACCGATATTTTTTTATCTTCTGTCTTCCATAAGCGTTCAGTAGGTTAGGATGGGGAATTGGGATGTTATGCCTAACAGTTATGGGCGTTGTGACGTTCTACTCTTATTGCCTCATGTATATCTGGAAAAAAATCGCATGTAATTTATTTAAAATTAAAATTATTAGACTAATGAGTTTGAAAAACAATAACAACCAATTACACTAAACTTAAACAAATTATACTAATACCAAATTAAGGATAAATGAGAATTATACCTAAGGCTAAATCACAAAGCATATGATATATAGTTTCTGAGATATATAATTAAGGCTATTTATTTATAAATAATTAGGGAATATTTTTCCAAGAGTAAATATATTGAACTATATACTTCAAGCTTAAATATTAGTATTTTTTTTAAATTACCTAATTTAGTATACCTAAGTACTTCCATCTGCTTTCTATTACGGTAGTCCTGATATA